TGAGATGCCTCCTCAATAATTTGGACACCTTGGGTTTGACCCCAGATATTAAGCCAACAAAATTAATCCGCTTTTCCACCCAAATCTGGCCCACTTATCCTTTAGACAACCAAAATCACTGGCCCCTCTTCGGGTCTTTAGATCCCAACCTTTTACAGGACCTATATAACTACTGTGAGTGATCGGGATGATGGGGAGAGATTCCATTATGTCCAAGCTTTTTTATACCTCCGTCTAAATCTAGCTCTCTGACTTCAAACCCTCCCTCCATACTTTCTGTTCCCCTGCACAGATTCTATTAGCCTGTAAACCAGTTTCTAAATCATCCAATTCCTCTCCAAACCTCCTCCTTCCCCATGTAAACAGACTTTTTGCACTGCTTACCATAACTATCTCCTCCTATCTTCCTGAAAAACTTTCCCCATCATGGAGTTAAGCAAGCCACTCCTTGCCAATTCTGGCCTCAAGGTGGTTCCAGCTCTGGAAGAGCTCATGCTCCCTTTCTCTGGGCTGAGACCAAGCCTCGGATTTATTTGGTGACCGGAGGAGTGGAGGTTTCATTTTGCTGAAAGCCTGCCAGTACCAATCAATGGGAGCAACCTAGAGACACAGGTGATGGCTAATCCCTCAGGCGTGTGTCATGCCTCCAGTCTCTGCCTTCCCCTCCCTTACCTAAGATGTCAGCACACCTTTCTGCCTCCTCCACGGTCTCACCACATGTACTTTGTCTCTGTCTGCCTTCCCCTCCTTGGGCTTACTGGGACCCTGCCTCCCATGAAAAACCTGTAGCATAGCACCTTATGACTTAAGTTATTCCAACTAGTTTGCCAGGCCTCTCAGTCTACAGTAACTTTAAGTCAGCTGCTTTGCAAAAGCGCTTACAAAAACCTGCAGCTGCCACGCTTATGCTCTAACTCCGCCCCCACAAGGGGAGGAGGGAAAGCAAACGGGCCTTCGTGCACAGGATGCCGGCTTTTGGACACAGCAAAAACACCTGCCATAGCTAAGAAAATCCATAGAGAGGACCCAGCACATCCTGGGTCACCAGCCACACATGGCGATGACTGCGGCCCACCACCACTTCCCCTAGAATAAACGCACACAGAGTACACAGGAAGGGGGAGGGGCAACAGGCTGCAGGATCAGGCCTAGGCAGTCAGGGTCATTTGTCCCAGGTGTGTGTGGAGGGAGTGGCGCCTTGCACAAGTCCTGCTCCTAGCCCCATCTCACACCTCAGGGCATCAGACCCTTGTAAGCCAATTGTTAGCTCAAGGTTATAGTTCCAGAAATAACAAAATAGACATTACTGTGGTCTCTAAACTTCTCATTTAGAATTTTCTATACCTTTGGCCTCAACATAAATTTTTCCCTCCAAATATTAACACTAGTTGTCTCGTATGATACTGTTATTGGCCTGAAATGCCCTCTGAATGCCCTTCTCTAACTTTACAAATGATTTATTTCTTTGTTAAAAAGGTAGCCTTTATTAAAAAGGCTGCCTGCTATTAGCTAAAAGACAGGATCCTAACGTTTTGTTCTTTCTAGATGGGACCTGCATCTTCCAGTCTTTGGCTGGTAGATGTTGAAAGCTTTGTACTGAGGCCTGGCCTCAGTATGCCTTGGGTGACCAAGAGAAGTGGCCTTCACAGGGCTCCTTAAATTATAATACCATACTCCAATTAGACCTTTTCTATAAAAGAAAAAAAAGTAAACTGAGGTCTCCTATACAAATTTCTACCTTCTAAGCCACGCCAGTACTCAGAACCTCTTAATGAGTGCTTCCCTCTTCAACAGGCAATGGTAGGAAGAGGGCAAATCGCATGTCCCCTTCCAGTTATCAGATCTAAGGGAAATTTTAAAACATCTAAACAGCTGTACTGATGCCCAAATACATCCAAGCCTTTATCTCTGTGATCCAAACCTTTCAACTGACATGAAAGGATATTATGCTTCTACTAGACCAGACTCTTATCTCATTAGGAAAGCAATGGGTTCGGGCCCAGGCCACTCAGGTTGGAAATGATTATATGGCTCAAGCAGTAGAGTGCCACTTTACAAGCAGAAAGTCCTGAGTTCAAGCCCAGTACAGCTAAAGTAAATAATAATAATAATAATAATATTTGGGGCTAAGGAAGTAGCTCAATGGGAGAATGTCTGCCCAGCATGTGCAAAGCCCTGGGTTCAATTCCCCAGTATTACTAAAAAAATTTTTTTAAATGGTAAAGAAGATAAGTGGTATTAATGTCACTTCAGCCATCTCATAGTAGAAAAATGTAGTTTAACCTAGACCAGATCCCTCATTCTTCAAGTGAGAAAACTGAGGCCCAGAACAGTTCAGAGATTTGCTCTCCAGAGTGTCAGGTGTCAATGTAAAATACAACTTTACTTTACAGCAACAACTTAAAAAAAAAATCCTCTTACAGCATCTTAAGGACGCTATCAGAAAGCATACCACTGTGGACTCAGAGTCACAGGTAAGAGAGGTTCTTCTCAAAGATAAATTTCTAACAGTCAGTCCCAATATTCATAAAATACTCAGACTGTGGCTGAAGGGAAAAGCCATTGAACCAAGTAATACAGCTAGCCACGTCTGTATTTATAGCTATGTCTGTATGTCCAGGACCTTACTAACAGGAAAGAAAAAGATAAGAGACACCACGGCCTCATTGCTGCTCTCAGAGAGGGCCCCACCCGACTGGGGCCTGTATCCTGAACTTGCTACTGTGGTGGGCAGGAGGGGCACTTCTGCAGAGAATGCTTAAGGTGGGACAGCCCAGGAGACAGCCCCACCCCCAACCAGGACCCTGCCCTATGCAAGGGTAACCACTGGAGGTCTAAAGATGGAAGGCGAGGTGCCTCTTCCTATGGATTGATGGGTCCAAGCCTTCTGGCCACACTCCACTTCTTGGCATCAATGTTGAGGAGCCATAATGGCAGGAAAACAAAAGGCCATTTTCCTCCTAGATACTGGAGCCTGTTTCTCTGTTTTACCTTTTTCTCCTGGTCCCCGGTCCAATGACAAAAGTTCTCTGTTCCGGGCAAATCTGGCCAGCCCCTAGAGCGCTAGTTTACCTGGCCTCTGGCCTGCCCTTGGGGAAACCTCCTCTTCTGTCACTCTTTCCTCATAGTACCTAAAACTCCAGTGTCCCTGATGGGACGGGATTTACTATCTCAATTAAGAGCTCAAATTCTCCTCCCCCCAGGCAGCTATCTCTGCTGCCCCCTCCTTCAGGAACAAAGAGATTCCACAGTGTGGACTGATGAGATGAGTGTAGGGTGAGCCAGGACCCTATTCAAATAAAACTCAAAAATCCCTCACAGTTTCCACACCCAAAACAATATCCCCTCAAGCCTGAGTCCTTATGCCTATGTAAATTCCTTAAAACAACAAGGGCTACTAATTAGTTGCTCCAGCCCCTATAATAAATTTAAAATTCTTATAAAAGTTAATTTTAAAATACAAGTTACAAAGTAAACAACTGGAAAGGATATAGATAGGTAACAAATGTAGTTTTGGAGAAGTTAAAGGAAAAAGAAATGGTTTTTTGGATGAGAAGAGATTTTGTAAAGAAAGATTTGTCCTGAAGATTGTTTCAAATAGGAAAGATAAGGACAAACCATCAAAGGGTTTAGTATGTTGAAGGAAGGTCTGAGTAAGTTTGAAAAGTGTATAATAAAGCTTCGGTGTGTGATAAAGTTAAAGTTGAATATAATCTAATAGTTGCCTAAAAGATTTTTAGGGTCATGTCAAACTAAAATAAAATTCTCTATGTCTATGAAATAACAAGGTTATCTTAATATTGTTCTGCTCTGAGTAACATCTACAAAAAACCATTACAGAGAAAGATTTTATCAAAGAAATTATTCGTGTTTTCTGCTATCTTGTCAAGCTTTAAGTACTACTAAATCAGAGTTCATTTACATATTTGCTTATGTGTCTTAAATGACCACCTTATAACAGTGTTATCTGAATATGGTACAAACATTTAAAAGGTTAAAAGTGTCAATTTATATAAAATAATGAGCTAAAGATCTCTTTTATCCAAGAGTGTTACATTTAAATCCTGACAGTCCCTGCCTCCCACAGGTCACCTACCTAGGTGTGGCCTTAAAGGGACAGACTCACTCCCTGAGTCATAAATGCATCAACCCAATCTTCCATTTCCCAACCCCCATACCATAAGACAGCTTACAGCTTTTCTGGCAGTTATAGGATTTTGCAGAATTTAGATCCCTAGGTATGTAGTCCCTGAACAGACACCTTTTTATGCTCCTCCTAATATTCCTATTTGGGTCTTAGATAAGGTATGGCTACCCATTTCTCTCTCTGTAGTTGGAGGACTCTTGAAATTGTCTAGGGAACATTTCACAGTGGTTCTCCTGGCCAATGCCCATCCTAATGCCACTGGCACTCCATGTGAGTCACTCCATGTGAGTGACTGATGGACCTCCCTCACTGAAACATTGTCTTCACCAGTAACTATTGCTTTCCCTGTTCTCTGGTGGCTGATTCAGTCCATTTGCTCCATGAGGAAATGGGTTCTCACTATGAAGTGTTTAACTGGACAGACCCCAAGTGGTGGAGTGGCTTGCCATTCCTGCTGGTGAGGCCATGGTGCTGGGAGCTGGCCACTCGAAGAAGGGGCCATCTCAGGGAGCCAGTGCAGCTGCCAGGGTCCAGGCCTGTGGGCACGGCTGGGGACAAAGCAGCTCTGAACTGCCTCTCAATGAGTGCCTGTGTTCCAGGAATGGGGGTGGGGTGACTCCCAGCCTCTTTTCCCTTCCCCCCCCCCCCCCCCGCAGGACATCCCAGGCTGGACACTAGGGCAGAAGAGCTCCTGCAGAAGGGAAGGCCCGGCCCTGCCCCTTCAGGGTTGGCCCATGTGCTGGACATTAGGAAATAGCACCAGGATCAGGGCTTCTAGGGTCCAGGATAATGATTGGGCCCAGGCGAGGGGCGGGCCCGGGGAGGCCAGGCGTCCTGGCCGCAGTATCCAGCTGCCCGCTGTGTCCATGGAGGCTAAGATGGGAGGAGCCGGTGCAGCTTTGGGGACAGGGAGAGCAGGGCAGTGCCCTGCAGAGTGAGTGGCGCCCAGCTCTCGAGAAGAGGCTGGGTGGGCGTCGGTGGTGGGCGGACCCTGGGCGGTGCACAGAGCGGCACTAGCGGAGTTACTGCGGGCGGGGCGCTTAGTCCCGCCCCCGTGGAGGCGGCAGAGGAGCCCGAGCCTGGCCGCGGGCTGGGCCCCGCAGGAGCTCCCGCCAGCCGACTTGGTCCTGCGGCCCCTGGTCCAGGCGGCCCGGCCCTGGCCGCGCCCAGCCCCCGCCATGTCACCCACGGGGCTTCGTGGGGTCACGCCGCTCGCTGCGATCGCCCTCTTGGTGCTGGGGGCTCCTCTGGGTAAGGGATAGGGAACGAGGCAGGGATGGGGGCAGGTCGGGGCGGGTGGGATGGGGGGAGGGGAGGGACCGACTCTCGGTCTGATCGCGAGCCTTGGATGCTGCATGGTCCGCAGGGAGTGGGAGGAAAGAGAGCCGGATGCCGGGCTGCAGGAAGCTGACCCCGGGCGCTGGGGTCAGCGTCAGGGAGAGGCCTCCGGGACTCTGAGGCTGAGACCCTGAGGGTGGAAACAAAAGTCAGCCTTCGGCTTCCGGGAGCCAGTGTGCTGGGGACCACCGCGGGAGGGAGACTAAAGGCAGCTGGAGTTGAAGTGGACTGGTGGCCCCTGGGCACCTCCACTCCTGCCCGCAGCGCTGGCCGGCAAGGACTGCCTGTGGTACCTGGACCGGAATGGCTCCTGGCATCCGGGTTTTGACTGCGAGTTCCTCACCTTCTGCTGTGGGACCTGCTACCAGCGGTACTGCTGCAGGGACCTGACCTTGCTTATCACTGAGAGGCAACAGAAGCACTGCCTGACCTTCAGGTAGGCCCCTGCCTCCCCATGCAGACCCCTTCCTTATCCTCTACCTATCTGCATTGTCCATCTCCACATTCTTAGCTGAATGGAGCCACCAGGACTCCAGCTTGATGGCAGGTTGGTGGCAGGTACTGGTCAGCAAAATGGTAGTTACCATCACAGACCGGCTGGGCTATGTTTCCAGGTGCTTTCTGGGGCCCTCTCTGATACCCAGCCTGCAGTATGGTTTTGTGGAAGAAGCTCTGGCAGGAAGGCAGGAGGCTTGGGTTTTTGATTCCCAGGTTCACACTTCTTATTAGCTGTGTGATCTGGGGAAGACATTTGCCCTCTATGGGTCATTGCTTCTCTTCCTAGAATAAGGAGCTTGCTAAAATTCATGCCCCCTCCCATAGAGATGGAACCCAAGGCCTCCACAAGCTAGACAAGTGCTGTACCCCTGAGCTACACCCTTAGCTCCAAATTGGTGGTTTTCAAACTTCTTTTTGAAAGGGACGGCTAGCAAACAAAATAGATACAAGCAGACCATCTAAAGTGAAGTTTGGAAATAATGGTCCTAGATTATTTCTAAGGCTCCTTTAGGGCTAACATGTTGTAAATCAAATGAAGTTGTAGGTGTAAAAGTAGTGGTAGCGGGGACATACTACAAATCCCAGCATGCCTCATACTAACTAGCCAGGCAGCATAGCCTTCTGGGAAATGGAGATGCCTACTACTCCACAGGGACTGGGCAGAATCCCACAAGGAACCCCAAATCTTAGCATGTTGTGCCCTGCTGCTGGCCAGGAGGTGGAGCCAGCACAGTGAGGACTCCCTCCTATGAGTGTTGGAAGGTGAGAGGACCTGTTCTTTGTCTAAAGTCCCAAGACCATAGCAGGCATCGCCTCTGCTGTAATCCTCTTTGTTGCTGTTGTTGCAACCACCATCTGCTGCTTCCTCTGTTCCTGTTGCTACCTGTACCGACGGCGCCAGCAGCTCCAGAGCCCTTTTGAAGGTGCGTATGGTATTGGGCTGGGCTGAACCTCGGAGAGGTCAAGGTTTGGTGAATTCTGTAGCAGTATGTGTTTCTGTATGCATGCTCCTGCCAGCATGGACACCCAGAAATATGCTTGAAAGCCCATGAGTATTAGAACACGCCCAGGGGTAAACGGGGCACAACACTGTGTGTCCCTGTATGCGCATGCACGGAAATACTCAGCTGTGGACCAGTAGTGCCGTCTCTGAACAATGGCCAGTGTGCAGCATGCAGATGGTGAAGTAGCTGGGGTGAGGTCTCGTGGCGAACAACAATCGGGTATGCTCCAGTGTACAGTAGACTGTGTTTCTGAGTGTCACATGTGACCACACAGGTACCTGATGAGCATGGGGGCATCGACACCATATGGAGATCAGTGTGGAAGGGAAGGGCTGTGGGAGGACCCCTTGATGGCAGCTGGGCTGGATTAGAAGATACCAGCTCCTGGAGCTGCCCACTCATTGCCCAAGTGGGGCATTGCCCAGGTTGTACTTTCTGTTTCACGAGGGATCTGAAACCTACTGAGGGAAGCAAACTTGCTAGACACAGATTGACTAGCCTGGCTGTGTGCAAAGCTCCCTGCAGACTCTGCCAAGCAGGGTGGGGGAGGCAGAGGCCACAGGTGGACAGCCAAGAGCCTGCAGGAGGGTTGTCAGGCTGCTTACCTTGATTTCCTGGGCAGGAAGAGGAACTTCCCATGGGAGGTGGGGTTCTGAACGCTGATCCTCATCTTTTACCTAGGCCAGGAGATTCCAATGACAGGCATCCCAGTGCACCCAGTATACCCATACCCCCCGGACCCCAAAGCTGGCCCTGCACCCCCACAGCCTGGCTTCATGTACCCACCTAGTGGTCCTGCTCCCCAGTATCCACTCTACCCAGCTGGACCCCCGATCTACAATCCTGCGGGTAAGGGAGCAATCTGGGCCCCTCACTCCTGTTTGCCCCCTCCCCTTGCTCCAGGACCTCCCTTGCCTATCTCTCTTAAATTCTCTTTCCAGAATTTCCCCTCTTCCCCCTGGAAACCCAGGCTAGCTCTTCCCATAGTCCTGCATACCCTTGGGATGGGGGCGGTACTTCCTGTTCCCACTGACCTTCCTCCTGTCTCCTTGGCTTTCAGCTCCTCCCCCCTATATGCCACCACAGCCTTCTTACCCAGGAGCCTGAAGAACTGGTCATGGCTCTGCTGCCCCTTCAGTGATGCCAGCCTCGGAGATGCCCCATCCTGTACCTGCATCCAGCCCTGGGGGTGGGTAGGGGGTCTTCTAGTCACCAGGCCTCAGACCAAGCTACACCCTGGACCCTGCTGGAGACAGAACCCCAGAGAAGTGGAACGGGAGCTGAGCTGGCACTAGACCATGAGTGTGGGGTACGTAGGGAGGCTTTGGGGTTGGTAGGCTCTTTATTGGGGGGTCAGAGACAAAGGTGTCAGCCTGGGGTAACTGCCCCTGCTTTCAAATAATCCCCCTGCTCCCAGGATCCCAATCAGAAAGGCAGGGGCCCCTCCTGTTTGCCCACTTTGGGCTGCAGTGGGGACCATGGGTGGCTCCAACAACAGTTGGCAGTAGCCCTTCCTCTCTGGCTGCCACACTGGCCAGGGATCTGGCCTGCTGGATTAAAAGCTGTAAAGATGTAACTAATCTCAGTGACGTCATTGGGCCCATCCATCGCTTCCAGTAGCGCTGCCTTCACTGGGCCCAGACTGCTACCCACTCCACCTCCCAAAGCCAGGGAGGGAAGCTCCAGCTTCATCTACAGCTGCATCCCAGGCATAGCTACCCCAGGCGAGGATCTTTGGGCTGTTCCCCAAGCACTTGAGATAGATTTGTGGCATATGCAAAGAGGATGTTCACTTGCATTACAGATTTCCTGCTCAGGGTCCAGTCTTTGAACCACCTGAGGCACTAGTGACTATACAGGCGCCTCCCCATCCATCCAACTACACTTAGATTCAAATTTGGACCCCACCACTGTGACCTTCCTGTCTACCAACTATGAGGCCTGGAGTTCAAACCCCAGTACCATCACCAAAAAAAAAAAGGAAAGAAAGAAATGAGAAATCACTCTGACCTTGAGCAAATCTCTGAAGGGTCCAGGGTCCTCATGGAAAGGACAGGGATACACTTCACAGCTCTCTCAAGGGTAAAAGAGTATGTAAATGAAGCTGAGTCCTCCTTCCTTCCTGATCTGAGGTCCTGGAATTAGGAGCCAGGTGGAGGGACAGTGGCCATCCAAGAGACCCATGCAAGGTGCTTCTGGTCATCAGGGGACCCTAAGACATCAGGTCCTCCAGCTCCAAGTCAGGGCCCCCCACTGATATGAAGGCTACCTAGTAGAGGCAATCTGGGAGTGGCAGCAAGTGTCTGGAGCTCTCTGGCCATCCCTTGCTGTGTTCCCTGGGATCACAGTCCTTGTGCTTTCAAGACTTGTCTGGTGACAGATCCAGGGAAAGGAGTTTTATAGTTTTTATTTTTGACATGTTAGGATTGGACCCAGGACCTCAGCCATGCTAAGCAAAACACTCTACCACTGGGCTAGACCCCCAACCCAGTTTATAGTTTTTTAATTCAAATGAGCAAAGTGTCAGCTCAGTTTGGCAAAGCCACAACCACCCAATGCCCCTCCTCTCAGCCCCAGACCCCTTCTCCCAGTTCCCAGAGCTTGACCATCGTTTTCCACCACCCTCAGGTACTCCACCCCAGGGCAGCCTTGGGCTCTGCTCTCCAGCCTTGCCATCCAGGCTCCTTCCTAGGCCTCCGAGTTCCTGTGGCCCAGCTGCATTCTGGATAGAGCTATTATGCTGATCATGCCCTCAGCGTCCTCTGCCACCCACATACTCTAGGGCACCTCTTGGGCCCACAGCCTGGAACAAAGGAGCTCCAGGGACAGAACTTTGGAGCTAGGATCACAGACTCCCTTGAACATAGTTCTGTCCCCAGATTTCCAGCTTCTCCCTTCCCAGTGAAATCTTCAAGGAGCCCATGAGTTTGTCCCTGGACCTGACCCAGACAGGGAGGAGCAGCTGATGCTGGTGGATACAGACCTGGGGCTCCAGTGGCAAATTGGCTTTCTGTTTGAGGGTGGGGGCAAAGGATGGGAGCTGGTGCCACAGAGTGATTCCACCTTCAATCTTGAGGTTTGGAGCCCAGCCGCCTCTGTCCTAGAGCTGTGATGCAGAGATGTGCAAGGTGAGGTCTCTTGAGTTTCCTGAGAAATGACAGCAATGTATGCAAGGCCTTGACAGTCAGAATTCATTATCCTTGCGTCAACAATCAGGGGCCAATGACAAGTTGCTTCGTAGTCTAGGGTGGGAGGCCAGAGCTGCAGGTGGAAGGGGGCAGAGCTACCCCTATTTCTCCTTAACTCTGCAAAGCACTGAAAATAAAAATTCTAAGAAAAAAAGGGAGACCCTGACAGTGGGCCTTTTGCATACTTGAAACAGAGATGAGGACCCTGTCACATACTGGAATTCTTTAAGTGAGGACAACACTCCTCCATCTCTCCCCAACTCTAATCCCCAAGCCCCATGGCATGTGGCCAGTCTTTGAGGAATAAGGAAAGCCCCACAAGACCTTGGAAGAGGCTGAAACTGTAGCTGCTCTTTCCCACTCCTACAGCCTGAAAACTGATCAGTACCCTAGAAAGACAGGGAGCTAGGGAAGGGAGGGACTGTGGCTCTGAAGATCTAGGGGGCCCCAATGGTGTTAGTAGGGTCTTGCTGGGTTGGGAAGAAGCAGTAAATGGGTTAATGGGTGGGTCTAGGAGATCTAGATGGAGAAGAGGGGCATTTTACACAAAGACATGGGCCTGTAGAGTATTGGTCTAGCAAGGGTGAGGTCCTGGGTTCAAGTCCCAGCACTGCAAACACACAACAAAACAAAATATAGGCCTGCCTAGGTGTATGGTAGGTGCAGGGAAAGAACTAAGTCAAAAACACACGGAAGCTTTGCGCAGTGGCGGTCTCGTAGCCAATGAGGTTTGTCTGAGGCGCGATTATTGCTAATTGAAATGCAATTGCACTGCTGGAAAGGTTGGCAAATGTGGGAGACGGGGGTGTGGTGGCGCAGCAGGGGAATAGAAGGGAGGCACATGGGAAAGTGGACACTTGGGGCCAGGAGTGAAGGAGGGGAAGGTGGGGTAAAGAAAGAGGGGCTGGAAGAAGGTGTCCACAGACTAGGAGTAGATGCGCAGGCAAGGTGGGGAGATGGCTGAGGCACTCATGGGCCTGTTTTCCAAGCTGACCTAAGGTGAAGGGCCTCCCGCAGAAGGACGGTGGGAGTTGGGGGCAGTGCAAGGTACTCCAGATGGTGACACTCGGTCTTCATCTTCCAGAATCATGCTCCTGGGTGAGTGACCCTATTCCAGATCTTAGTTTCTTAAAGAGGGCCGCCTGAGTGTGGAGCCCCTGTGTGGAGCTGAGCCCTCACTGGCAGGCACATCAAGGTCCGATGACAGCAAGATAGGGGAGCACTTCAGCAGCCTCCGGAGCCCGCCATAACCAATGCCAGGCTCTTGGCCTTAGCTCTGGGCATCTCCCACCCTTGCAGGGATGGGGCCAGGAGGCAGAGAGCCCCAGTGAGCTGGAAAGCAGGAGGAGAAAACCACTTTCCATGGTAAGGCGAGAGGCACTGAATGTAACCCCCAGAAGTGACAGAGACCGTCAGGGTGCAGCGCAGGAGGTATTCCGGTGGGGGAAGGGGGCTGCTGGCAGAGACTGCAGAGGGTCAGGTGTCACTTCTCCCAGGTCGGTGGAATGGCCCGGTTGTCAGGAGACATGGATTTGAGTCCGGATTCATCCACTTGGACAGGTCATTAATGCTCATATTTTTCCCTGTAAAACACGGGCGCTAGACGAGGACAGCTCCTTTCTAGTTCCTTCCCCTGGGTTTTAGGAAGGGAAAGAGGACAGAGACAGGTGTCCGCCCGTGCAGGTGGAGCAGGTAGGCGGTGGTGCGGGCGGGGCCGGGCAGAAAAGCGGCCCCACGGGTGCAGGTCCCTTTCCGCGGTCACCAGGTCCTGAGCGCACGGTCCTCTCCGGGCCCAGCGCTCCTTTTGGCCCGCCAAGGCCGCGGGGAGGTGCCCAGCAGACCGTCTCCTAGGGTAGGGCCAACTCGGGTCGCATCGACTCATCTCCCCCTTCCACCCCGCTCAGCCTCGGCCTCCCCGCACGCCATCTGCCCCCCAGGTGGCGCTGTGCTCCCGCAGCGGGTTCAAACGCACCGAAGAACGATTACATCATCCAGGCCAGGGCAGTACTGACCTGGGGGCGGTGGAAGGGGACCCTGGGGAGTGGCTTTTTTCTCTGGGTAGATCGCGTTTTAGGTTTGGTAGAAAGGGTGCTAAGACGACGCGTTCTGTTGAAGCCTTAAGATTTAGAGATACTGGTTCTGTTAGACTTCTAGGGTGGTCCTGACCACTGTCAACGGTCTCATTTCAGTGGGGAAGGGGAGGACGGGGGAGAAGTAAGGGGATCTGTTATCAGAAGCAGTTCCAAGGCCTAAAGACCTGAGCTCTGCCTTTTGTTTGGTTAACCTCGCTGGTCCAAACTTTATGTGCAAAATGGTGAGCTTATTGGTGTCCACCTCCTGGAGTTGAAGGATCAGGGAAAGTAACCTAAAGCATCTGCCTGGTGCCCAGCGCTCTTCAGAAACAGGGTCAGAGGAGGCTGTCCCCGGCGTGGCTCAGTTCCCAACCCTTGAGCAGGGAGTCCACTAATGGTTCTGTCTCCCATCCCCCAGACCCAGCCATTGCTTAGGGCAACAGGCAAGTGGGAGCTGGGGAACAGGGCCAGAGTTCTTGCCCCAACACCAGTCGGCCCTCCGATTTGGGTTGAACCTAGCACAGCCAGCTCTCCAGCTTCCTTCAGGGGCACCCGGCTTGTCCCAGAGATGCTGGAACTGTTGTGCTCTGCTACTGAGACAAACAGGAGGCAGGAACACCTGTAAGTGAACCAGACCTGAGGTGGCAGTTTCATAGTTCCCAGGGGTGCCAGTCCCTTCAAACCAATAAAAGTTAGAAAGAGGTTTGGATGGTGGTGGTGGTGGTGGTGGGATCAAACCCAGGGCCTCCCACATGCTCTACCAGAGCTACACCCAGCCTGAAAGGTGCTTTAGATACTGTATGCCTGATGGTGGGTGTGGTGGCTGGCCAGGAAGGCACCTGCAGGTGGGGTGGGATAGGAATGACGATTCGGTACTTCTGATCCCTGGACACCCTACTACAGCACTGCACTCCTCTGTCTGGGCCTTCCTTGGCCTATAACTGCTGTGAGGAGCTGGCTCTGAGCCCACAGTAGGAAGAGTCATGGAATGAGCATCCCTTGAACACGCCTAATATAGCCATTCCCAGGGCCTGTGCTCTGCTCTGCCCTGTCACCCCTGAGAACAGCCCTAGACATGGACTCTAGGCAGTGAGACTGATTTAGGAACAGACCTGGAACAGCCAGGTCATGGGGTCCTTGACTCAAGAATTCAGGCTTCCCAGATGGGCATGGTGGTAGATACCTGTAATCCCAGCTACTCAGGAGGTGGACGCAGTAGGATCACAGGTTTAATACCAGCCCAGGCAAAGGCAGTGAGACACTATCTCAAAAACAAAATACAAAATAAAATGACTGGAAGTATGGCTCAATGGTAGAACACTTTCCCAGCGTGTGTGAAGCCCTGGGTTCAATCCCAGCATCTCTTAAAAAAAAAAAAAAAGTATACAGGCTTTCCCCTATGCTATCCTTTCCACAGAGGTAAACTAATTTCATGGTCACTATCATAAGGATATGGCAGAGAACCTGGGCTTCTAGAGCCTTCCAGGGAACCCAGGATCAGCATCAGGACCCAAGGAACACAGGACAGAGGTAAGGCACAGCCACTCACAGCTAAAGATTTGTATATATTATCAAAATCTTATGGAAAAACAGATACACAGCTCTTTATACAACAGCAGGTGGGTGTGAAGAAAATGTCTGCTTTGGCATCAAACCTTCAGGTCCAGCTGCTGCCTCTCCTCCCATCTGAAGCCCACTCTCCACCAGGCCAGGTGCCTACCCTGGGGGTATCCCCAGCCTCTCCTGTTCTCCCTGGACCCCCAGGCCTTTTATCCCCCTGCCATTGCTCCACAATGGCACTGGCCCAGCAACTTTGCCCCAAGGGCTCCTCAAAGGCCTGAATCCTGGCCCTGGAGGGCAGGGGGGCTGGGGTGGGCATGTGATCCCTGGGGGATAGCTTTGCTGGGTCATAGGCCTTCTGCAACCTGCCAGTCACATAGGCCCCAGGCAGTGCCGTCTTCTCTGTGATGTGCTGGAAGGACTCTTCTTGTCCTGACCTTCAGCTCCAAGTGTCAAAGCAATTTTTGGAGAGCCTCAGAGACAAGAAAAAGGAAGTGAGCAGAGATGAGGCGTCCTCCCCCGAGCGTGGCAGGCCTTGAGCTTTCCCATGGCAGAGCAGGCACAGCCACAGCAGGTCAGCCAGGGTAGGGTGGGCGGGGTCTGTGCAGCCCTGGGACATGAGCCTGGGCAGTCATGGCACTGGCACCAGGACCTGGCAGCCTGGTCCTACTGAAGCAGCTTGGGCACCTCCACCTGTAGGGCAAAGCAGAGACAGATTAGCACAGGGAGCTGGGCACAGGACCTTTATCCAGCTCTCCTCTCTCCCTTCTGGAAGGACACCACTCCAGACCCCTCAATATGCGTCCAGGGGATGGATGCATGAGGTGTTGACACCGAGGGTATCTCCTGGTAAAGAACTGAGCTGTGACTGGGTAAAGCCAAGATCACTTTTGTTTGGAGAATGGAGAAAGAAGACTTGTAAGCAGGGCCCGCAGCTGCACTTGCACATAGAGGCCGTCTCTCCATTCCAAAGGGAAGCAGGTTTGACTTCAGGCAGAGGAAGGTGGAAGTATGGAGTGAGAGTCAAAAGCAAGGGTGGGGCCTCACATCTAAGGGGGAGCAGGTGTGGCCTGTCGGAGGCAGGAGGATGGCCAAGATGACTTGAAGGGCCCTGGGCACCTGAAATCTGCCATGAGCTCCTTTGCACATGTTCCCTTTGCAGCCCTGGCACTGGGACCCGTCCCCTGTGCCCACAACCACTTACCTTCTTCAGCTGCTTGAGGTTGCTGGAACGGATGGCAGCCAGGAGCTGGTCACGCGAGTTCTTCTCCTGGGCAGGGAGGACTTTGTCTCCCATCTTCCTCTGGGTGGCTGGTGACAGTGAGTTCTTCAGGTTCTCCATGATAAGGGGTGGAGCCAAGGGAGGGGGAGGAGGGGGCGGAGCGGCTGGAGCACCCCCTTTCTTGGGCGAGTTCTTTGGAGTGGGCTTTGGAGATGGCTGGGGTGAAGACTTGGGGGAGCCCTTAGCCAGGGCCCCTACCTTGGGCACCTGCAGCCGATCCTTCTTCTCTCCGCTGGCTTCCTGGGCCTGCCTTTGCTCCTGCAGCCGTTTCTGTCGCTGCTTGTCCATGTTGCGGCTGAGTAGGTTGGTGACGGTCATGCGGGGCCCGGCCAGCTCAAAATGGTAGCCCAGCTTGAGCAGGGTGGTGTTCTCCTTGAGCAGCTTGGCGATCTCCATCTCTGTCTTGCCCCCGCAGATGTGTCGCTGGTTGTGGAAGCGCAGCTCGGTCAGTGTGTTGTTCTGGAGGAGGGCCCGGAAGATGGCCAGGATGCCCTTGCCGGTGATGTGGTTGGAGTCCAGGTTGAGGCTGGTGATGGTCTTGTTGGCCTTGAGCAGGAGGGCGATGGCGAAGGCCACATGGTCATCAGCTCTTGTGTTGGCCAAGGCAAACACCTTGACCACGGTGTTGAACTCCAGGGCCTCGGTGAAGCGGACCAGGATCTCATTGGTGATACAATCTGAATTGTTGACGTTCACCTCAGTCATCTCTGGGTCGTTGTTCTTCACTCTCTCCAGAGGCTCGTCAAATATGCTGGGAGCTGCCTCCTCCTCCACCTTGGGGGGCCCTTCAGAGGGCTTGTTGGAGCTGCCAGAGGCCTGCTTCTCGGAAGCTTTGGTCTTGCTCTCTTCCTTGGTGTCTTTTTCAGGCTGGATTTTGTCCTTCTTGACTTTTTCGTCTTCCTTTTTTGTGTCTCTGTCCCCACTTCCTCTTTGTACACCCTCGCCTTCCTTTTTCTTGTCTGTGTTCCCACCGGCCCTTTTCATCTTCTCATCCGTTCTTTTGGTATCTGTGTTCCTACGCCCCCCCATTACTGTCTCCTCCTCCTTCTTGCCCACCTCCTTTACTTCCTCTCTCTTCTTGTCCTTGTCCCTGCTCAAGGCGGTGCTCCTGTCACTCCCCTTTTTCACCTCTTCCTTCCTTGGGGCTGCTGTCCTCTCCTCTCCTCTCCCATCCTTTCCGGCCTCCTTCTTGTCCACTGCAGCCCGGACCCGGCCTTTGTCAATGCCCCTAATGACCTTTTCCTCCTTGGGCTTCTCCCCACCCTTGCCATCAGCTTCCTCTTGATCTCTGGAGAAGCTTTTCTTTAAGCCACCCCTCTTTGGCTCCTTTCCCAGGTCTGAGTCCTGTCTGGGGCCCAGGGCCTTTCTGCTGGCATCTCTGCCCCTTTCCTCTCCGTTCTTGGCATCTGTCTTGCTCCCCACTTGCTTGCTTTCCTAAGAAGTCAGAAAAGAAAAAATAAACATGCTGAGCTGGCTACAAAGGGAGAGGAATGGGTATGGAGACAAGTTGGGGAGGGCGTATAACTGCTCTTGAGCTTCCAAAGTCTTGTTGGTCTGAGGAGAGCGACAGACAGGTTGAGGACAGCAGAAGGGGCTCTTGGGTTCGGGCTGCAGAGAATGGGCTGACATCGGGCTCCCAGCCTGAGGGTCACGCGATGCCAGAATGAACACCTATGGAGCACAGGTCCTCCTCAGAGCGTTCTGAGCCAGGGCTGCCCTTTCCTGCCATGGTGGTTTAGGGCTGTGTTCCACAGTGCCCTGACACAGCATATTGGAACCTGAGGCAAAGGGAAAATCACTAACGCTAATCCTGCCTTTACCTACCATGTTGAGCATTTGTTTATCATGGATATGTTGCATTAATTTTGACTTTTAAAAAGAAATGTCAAAATGTCAGTTACCTGGCCCACTGAGGTGTTGGTACCTCCTGTGTTCCTGTGAGCGCCTCCCATCCCTCACCCTTCTCCCAGCTCTGCTGCCAAGAAGGGCCAGAGGCTCTCAGGTGCTAGAATTTCATAAGCCAATCCTTTTTAAAAAATCTTTTTCAGTGCTAAGATCAAGCCTAGAGCCTTGCACATGCTACGCAAATGCTCTAGCCCAAGTCGATACATTTGCAAACGGCAAAAGGAAAAAAAAGAGGGAATGATGAAGATAGGGTTGCTAACATTTTGCTTCATCAATTAAAGGTATTTATAAATGCTTTCTCATTGAAATAAGAAAGAACCAATTACAAAAGAAATAGGCACACAGAATATGTGATGTATCTTTATATCAAATATGTGTTATTTATTTATTTATTTTATTTACTTACTTGGTGGTACTGGGGTTTGAACTTAGGACCTCATGGTTGCTAGTGCCACTCCGCAAGCCCAAATATGTGATTTTAAAATGTTCATAGTGTTGTCTTATTTTTTAGTAAAAATTTCACTTGGGACAAGCCCCTCTCTGGGAATTCCTGGAACCCACTGGGTCAGCTGACCTTGACCTTGGAAGCACTGTTAGAATCTAGGATTCTGTGGCTCCCGTTTGGTCACAGACATGAGGGTCTTGCTTGGAGAGGCCCTAGGATGGAGTCAGCTGAGTACGAATAGAGACCTGAGTGTTACACACAGCACAGGCCACCCAGCCCCTCTACCAGGCCTGCTTCTTCCTTCACAAAATTCCATCTCAATCTCCACCAGGGAAGCAAAGGAAGCATCAGATTGTCTGAGAGAAGACATAAGGTTAACATTCAACTGGGATAGAGAGCCAGAGCGATTAGGACTCTAGGGAACACTGGAGGCCCTTCCCTAAAGTTTTTTGTTGTTTTGTTTTTTAAACAGGAAGAGACCATGCCTGAATGTTGAAGGGTTTCTGTCTTTCAGGAGGGCCCCATGAGACTCACACCTGTAATCCTAGTTACTTGGAAGACAGAGACCAGGAGGCTTGTGGTTGAGGCCAGACTGAGCAAAAATTTCATGAGAGCCCCATCTTGACCAGTAATATCTGGGTGCGGTGGTCCATGTGCCTGTCATCCTAGCTAAGCAGAAAGCGTAACTAGGAGGGTGATGGAATGTGAGACCCTGTATTAAAAATAACCAATGCAAAGCAGGTTGGGGCAAGGCTCAAGTGGTAGAGCTCCTGCCTAACAGGCAGGAAGCCCCGAATTCAAACCCCAGGACCCTCCCCTCCAACACACACAAAAAAAAGTGCCCCATGGGGTATGGGTAGAGGGGAAGGAAGAAAGGAACTCTCTGGCTCATGCCAGTCTTCCAGAGAGAATGGAGAGTAAGGTTGCTCCCATGGAAACAGTTTGTACCTGCTCCACAAACACATGCCACTGGGGACCAGCCTGGGTTTATTTAGCAGAAGTCCTTGGCTTCCCTGCTACAATTACAATAGGCAGCCAAGGGCCCAGGGCCTGGGAGTCAGGGACTTGGAATGTGCCCCTTCCTCCCTCCTGTCCCATAGGGCCCAGCTGCCCCAGGGTGTCACTAGAACTGAGGTGATAGAACAGGGGTAGAGAGCCCTCCTCACACTCTGGCTCCAAGGACACTGGGTTTGGCCCTTTAGGTCACCCTGGGGCAGCAGTGGTGGTAACTTTGCAATAGGTAAAGAAGTATGCAAATAGAATGTAAATGAGGAAACCCAATGGCTTTCCTTTTAGGGCACTTTTATAATGACCTGCTCAGAGTGGCCTTCTGCAGATTCCCCCCACTGTGGGATCCCAGAGGTAGGAGCTAGGTGGAAAACAGCTTCTTCAGCCCAAGCTCTGGAGGTCTGGCCCCCAGCAATGCCTCCTGCCCAGGTATCCCTTCTCCATCCCTTCCCCAAATGTGCCCACCACAAGATTCTTCAGTGTCCATGCTTCTCAGCTCACAGGCCTAATTTAGGGGGAAGCTGGAACCCAGACAGATGACAACCAACTGCATCCAGCAGGCCCAGGAAAAACTAGACTTGTGACCTGATTGTCTCACCAGGAGCCACTAAAGTCTCTGCAACCACCTGACCATTGCTGTTGGAGGCCAAGTCTCCCCACCCTATCTCCCAGCATGTCTCATGTGCCTGAGTGTCCCTGCCGACCAGCCCCTCTCCAGGCTGAGCCCCTGCAGACCCAAGGCTCCCATTCAGAACCTTCTCTCCCCTCTTCCCTTCCTTGACCAGGACTATTTTCCACATTTTAACCCTCTCTCGGCCCTGACCCCACATCATGATGGTCAGGATTACTGACCATTCCCTCTTGGCACTTCCCTTATGCTAGGGTTCTAGCTGGCCAGGATCTACCAAGTGTCTCTTGCTGAGGAAGTGTGCCAACCCTTTAAAAAGAACCTAATGGAAAACAGGCTGGGGTGGGGGTAGGGGAAAGGGCCGATTAATCATCAGTTTCCTCCAAATAGCCAGGAATGAGTGGGGCTGGGGCTTGTTGCAGCTCGCAGCGGAGAGCTCAGACCTTGCCTTAAAAGGAGAAGGAGCCCAGAGTCCTCCCAGGGCTGAGATTTCAGCAGAGCGAGCTCCTAGAACATAGCAGAGCTGCCTTCTTTGTGCTTATCTGAGAGGGAGTCCAGGCCAACTGCCTTTGTTTCTAGAACTAGCGGAGCATCCTGGTGACCTCCGGAGGTTATTTTTGTCTGTGTTCCTGTCTGTAGACCTTACTTGATCTTTTGTCCCTTATAGCAGAGGAGTTTAGGTGAGATATAGCAAAGAATTTCCATAGAGCAAGGGTCCATTGGTCTCCAAATGAGAGACCTAAGTACCAATAGCATTCCCCCTTGGGAAAACTGTAAGGGATAGGAAGGACAATAGGCTCCCTACTCTGCCTTTGGCAGATGCTCTCCCAGGCCTCAGCTAAAGTCCCAAGGATACTGACAGCCCCAATGTATCCAATTCATAGAAGGTGGCTTTTTCTTCTTCTTCTTCTTTTTTTTTTTTTTTTTAGTTGTGGTGGCTTTGAACTCAGAGCATTTTTGTCTTGGCCCTGTCCTTCTTTCTCTTCCTCCTTGATCAAGGTAATCTTCACCAGGAAAGCTAGGGAAATGAGTGACACCTCTTAGTTCTGCTCCTAGCATGCAAACCCCCTAGCCACCTGCCCTTCCTGGTCCTGCACTATGTTTCAGAACCCCAGATTTTTGTCCCCTGCTGTTCCCATGAAGATGTCCTGGCCCATGAAGCCATTTTGGCAGCAGTGGAGTCCTGGCCCCTCTCCCTCTAGCCACCTGGTGACCTCCTGGTACCAGGCACCACAGCTGCTAGTGTCATCTGTCTTAACAAGGAGTGTAGGATGGAGCTGGCCACAGGTCCCCTGGGAGAACAGCTCCCTTTAAAGGCTGGTGTGAAGGGCAGGGCTGGCAGCAGGGCTAGGGCAAGTGGCCCCCAGAAGAGTACAGATTCCCTTCAGCACTGCCAGGAAAACTAGGATAGTTCTAGAAACTTTCTGCCCATGAAGGCATGGGTACCCACAGGCTCTGCAGGCAGTTGTCTTATGTGGCAGTCAAGGGGACAAGCTGACCAGGTGTCTGTAGCAGACAGTGCTGATGGAGTGGACACCCCCTGCAGAAGAGTTAGTACCTCAGTGTACTGTATTCCTTCAGGCTGGCCACAGAGCCACTTCAGCCTTCTGGGGAAGGCCGGGTGCAGCCCCTTTCTCAGTCATTCCCAGATGCAAGTTCCTGTCTGGCAGTGGCTCAAGAACAAGACTACAGCACCTTCTAGTAGCCTGCTTTTTGGGGTTACCCTAGCCCCAACCCTTCCCAGATCATCCCATGCTGGCTTCCCCTACTTCAAAGCCCTTCAGTTAACATCTCTGAAAAACTACTTTTGGAAAGTTTAAGATCTTGTATACAAAGACCCACACATACACTCAGCGTCTGTCCACAACTGGAGTACACTGAATCCTCTAAGACTAGGGACTGAAGCCAGGCATGGTTGTATATGCCTGTAAATCCTGGCACTTGGGAGACCAAGGCATTTGAGTTTGACCTGGACTACACAGTGAGACTCTATCTCAAAAACAAAAACAAAACAAAAATAAGGATTCAAATAGAATTTCTAATTTGGGGCTAGGGGTTCTGTCTTATGATGTGGGCTGCAGAACCACCTTCTCCCAAAGCTTCCTGTGAGTGCTGCACGCCTTGAGCTCCCAGCCCCTGGCCAAAGCAGGAAGGAGTGCAAGATGCCCAGCAAGGGACTTGCATGGCATAGATGCTTACGTGCATGCTTGTTGGTGCACAGGCTCAGAGAGACTCCCTCCTCACACACACCCCGACATGTGGTCACTGTACAGCCCATCCACACCAGAGATAGGCAGATGTCTCAGTCAGCCCTGCTGTGGATACCGAGAGCTAGTCCATACTCAATACACCTGACAGTGTTGGAGGTTTGGCCCCTCCCTTTCCCCCAAAGGCATGGAGCCATCTGGGCCCAGGTCCCACATGCTCAGAGCTTCAGAGAGGTCAGGT